TTATAAGCAACAGAACTTTCAAGACAGGCAACCTGAAGTCTCAGACTTGCTCAATTCAAAATCAGCATCACCTGAATCAAGGATGTGGGTTTCACTGGTTCCTATACTGGTTCCTATTTAGAATTGCTCAAGCATAGTTTGCTAAGATGAAGATTCTGATTTAGTAGGTCTGGAGCGAAGCCTGAGATCCTTCTAACGAGCTCCCAGGTGATGTCAATGCTGTTGGCCCACAGACTACACTTGGAATAGCAAGTGTACTCTTCCTAAAACTAAAGTTAAGATCATACCGCTTCTTGTTTAGGCTTGGTGTAGCCTAATCTGGATGCTATATAATCCTGTCTTTCTAGTCATCAGACAAACCCAGGAACCCAGTTATAAGGGTTATTAATACCACCTGCTAAACAGAGAAAGGCTCTTTCTCCGCATCTTGTTTGTAGGAGATGAATTTATCTCAATAATCTCAGCCTCTTCTGCCACTCCTTACTACTTTCAACTTTTCTCTATTGAGAGAAGATCATCAAAATCCAAGAGAGAGAGGAGAGAGGAAAGAGGAAGGAGAGAGGGGGGAGAGGGGGGAGAGAGAGGGGGAGAGAGAGAGGGAGGGGAGAGAGAGGTAGGGGGAGAGAGAGGGAGGGGGAGAGAGGGGAAGAGAGAGAGGGAGGGGGAGAGAGAGAAAGAGGGAGAGGGGAGAGATGGGGGAGGGGCGAGGGAGGGGGAGAGAGAGAGAGAGAGAGAGAGAGAGAGAGATTCCTATACTGGTTCCTATGTAGAATTACTCAAGCATAGCCATCAGCCTGGAGCAGAGTGTGTATGTGTGTGTGTCCTATATTTTGTGTGCCTGTCATAAAAGACAGCAAAGGGACTCCCTATCTTGAAGCCCCAGCCTCAGAATCACCCCATAACTGTCTAGTAGACATCTTGAGAAGAAGGAACACAATTCTTCAGTAGTCTCTATTAGTACAGCATTTATCATATTTTGAAAGCAGCACTAGTTGAAAGCTTACATATTCCACAATATAAAGCACAACCTGTTTATATAATAATCACTCAAACATTTTCTGAATTAGTTGATAAAGCTGATACAATTGAAAAGTCCTAAAACTATAAGAAATGAAGCTGCTTTTTAGATTATCAGTAGATATTTTCATTCCAGTACCAGCCAGCCACCAAAAATAATAATAAGGAATTTGGCCCCTATAAATTTATTATTTCTCTTTTAACTAAAAGTAGTTGGATCTCCCCTTACCTCTGGCTTCATGCCCTTTCTGCTCAGTACTGACATTGTATTTCGAGGCACAATCTTTAATCTCCATATTTCCAATCCTGGGCACACATTTTTTAAAAAATCACAGATTCTCAGAAGGTACTGGAAGTGGTAGGAACATACTTTTTGGATGTTCTCAAATCCCCACCTAATAACAGAACTACCAGATGGCAAAACCAAAAACCCAGACATGTGTAACAAAACTTGGTGTCAACAAATGTTGACGAGGCTGTGGAGTGAATCAGAACTCTCGTGCCTTGCTGGTAAGAATATAAAATGGTAAAAGTTGGCACCTGGAAAAGTTCTGTGGTTTCTTAAAAAGTTAAATACACACGTGCCACACGACCCAGCCATTCCACTCCTAGGCATTTACCCCAAAGAAACAAAAGCACAAAGACTAGTACATAGATGGTCACGGCAGCTTTGTTTGCTTTATTTTTCAGTTAGAAATTAAAAACAATCCATGTTGGTCAACAGGTGAATAAAATGTGGTACGTTGGTGGTTTCACAGGTATACACATAAGTCATGTCAAATATATGCACTTTATTGTCTGTCAATCACACCTCAAAAAAGCTGTTTCTGAAAGCAAAGGGGTACAATAACAACTTTTAAAAATCAAAAAGAAAGAGAGAGAGATAAAAGAGATTTGAGAGAAAGTAGCAAATACTGAAGAGAGGTCAATTAGACTTCAACATACACATAACAGGGGTTCCCCAAAAAAACCGAGGCAAAAGCACTATAAACCACAATTCAAAAAAACCTTCCTGAAATAACAGATTTGAAAACACGCACAGGAAGAGCATACCATACACCTGAAAACACTGACGTAGGACAACCAACACAGGACACATTCCAATAAAATTACTGACTTAAGAGAAAAAGAAAACGATCCTTTACGCATCTAAGCAAAAAGAGCACAACTTACAAGGGAAAGAAAATAAGATTCATTAGGCTTTTCGTACAGCACTTTATGCTGGAAGAAAACAATAAAACATTTAAGATATTCAAAGAAATAAAATCTGAGCCAACGATTACATATCCAGCAAAACTAAATTCAACATATAGGAACTCAGAGAATACTGTTCCCCAAATGACATTGACCTAATGAATGGTTATGAGAATTTAATACATAGAAATAAGCCTGAGGGCAAAAGGTAGCGATTTTATTATGTAATGACTGACAATGCAGATATAGTATTGTTTTCATTATTATAACTAATGGTATGGTATTGTATTATATTGAAATTCTACATGTTAAAGTGGAATGAAATGAGCGAGCGATTATGGGATATTCTGTTTCATCATCCCATGTCTTGAGAACCAGAGTTCTCAGTGTAGAAGGAGACACAGACATAATAATAGGAGAGATTAAGTAAAAACCCTGGAATCCTGAATTTGTATTGGGAATATCAACATGAGCTCAGAAAATATCTTTAAATGTGCATATGCAAAAGTATGTGCATGTTTTGTTTTAATAGCTTTGTCCAACGAAAAGTCCTAGAAACAATGATCATTGCTGTAGCAATGAGCCTCTCAGATCATGGATTTGAAATACCATTTCCACCAGCTTCTTGTAGAGATAGTGGTTCCAGTTCTGAGCAGGAGATGTAAACGCAGGGCCTAGAGCACCTGGGCATGTCAGACTGCCGCTGACAGCAATGACTGTGTGCGGTCTGTGCAGGTACACTGTATACATGCATATCAAAAGAAACCCAAGAGCCAACGTGAACAGGGTCCCTTTCACAGGCCAAAGAAGGGACAATTTGAGTTCAATAAAGATAAAAATTGCAACGGATTGAAACCCATCAAAATTGCTTAAGTCCATAAGTTCTTGGTATATATAAAACACTTTCATCGCTCACCTTCTAAGGATGACAGAGAACTAATCCATTATCTTGACACTGTGTATAAGAGCAAGCAACCAAGCATTTATCCTGCCTTTCCTCCTTGGGCTGTACTGCTGCGTAACCAAATAGTACATGAAAGGAAGCATCTTCCTTAAAAACCATTCCAGCCAATAAATGCCACCAAAGTGCCAGAATTAGAATATCACCATTGTGCAGCCCCCAAATAGTGAGTGGATCTGGGCAGAGCGTCAGCAGCTGTCGCCATCACAAAGGACTCCTGACAAGAGCACCTAACCACCCACTGTCTTGTCAAAGAAAGCAAAGCTGAGTCTGCCCCCGCCTCTGACCCAGCTGCCAATTTGCAGGAAACACGGAGGACAGAGGAGCGTGCGGAACTGCAGCTGAGAAGGCCAGCAGCAAAGCCAGACTGTGGGAACCCACAAGACAAAGGGCCCAGGTTCTCCAGCAGATACACTGTGGGGAAGGCGATGGAGGGAGGGGAACTGCAAATTAAGAGACTTATGACTCAAGAAATATCAAGTTTTTTAAAAAAGTGGACAAAACTTGGGCCGGCCCGGTGGCGCACTGCTACAGTGCGCCGCTTGGGAGCGCGGCGGCGCTCCCGCCGAGGGTTCAGATCCCACATACAGACCGGTTCCCGCTCACTGGCTGAGCGAGGGGCGGGCGCAGCACTGAGGGTTGCGATCCCGTTGCCGGTCCCGGTCCGGTGCGGGCGCGACACTGAGGGTTGCGGTCCGTTGCTGGACACGGAAAAAAAAAAAAAAAAGTGGACAAAACTAAACTGCCATAAAGAAATGCAAGGAAGTAATTTCTACAAAACTCAGGATTACTTTCGGGGCTAGGAGAAGGCTCTGATTAGAGAGGCCCTGGTAGAGCCTTCTGGAGTGTCTTGCAAAGTACAGTAGTCCCCCTTATCTGCAGGGGGTATGCTCTAAGACCTCCAGTGATGCCGAAACTGTTGATGTCACCGAACTTTATACAGTTTTTTCCTAAATATACATACTTATGATAAAGTTTAATTTATACATTAGGCACAGATTAGCAACAACTAATAATTAAATAGAACAGTTATAACAATATCCTATAATAAAATTATGTGAATGTGGTTTCTCTCTCTTAAAATACCTTATTGTACTGTTCTCACCCTTCTTCTTGACAGCATGAGGTGATAAAATGCCCACGGGATGAGACGAGGTGAGGTGAAGGATGCAGGCTTCGTGACGTAGCATCAGGCTGCCACTGACCTTCTGACCATACAGTCTACAGGAGGATTGTCTGCTTTGGGTGATCCTGGATCTTCAAGCCATGACGATGTCGATGGTTGGGTGTCAGGAGCAGATGATGGCAGTGACTAACAGGCAGGCAGCATACACAGTGTGGACATACTAGACAAAGGGAAGATTCACACCCCAGGCAGGGTATAGCGGGACGAAGACTTCATCATGCTACTTGGAACGGTGTGCAACTTAAAATCTGTGAATTGTTTATTTCTGGAATTTTCCATCTAATATTTTCATACCGTGGCAACTGAAACCATAGAAAGCACAACTGCAGATAAAGGGGGATTACTGTAGTATTTCTTACTGGGGTGGTGGTAAGAATATTCACCTTACAATAATAATAATTCAGTAAACTATATATTTTTTGCCATTTTTTTGTTTTTATTTTATGATATAAAGATTTAAAAACAAATGATGAGGGGCTGGCCAGTTAGCTCAGTTGGTGAGAACAGATTCAGATCCCCATACTGGCCAGATGCCAAAATAAAAACAAAAACAATAAATAAAGAGATAAAAATAAGTAAATGAATGATTGTGTCAAACGTCTTAAATTGGCACAGCATTTTTTTTAACAAAAAGAGCCAAAGAAATTTTTAAAAGATTTATTTATGCTTCTTAGTCTCTAAAGGTTATCGCTGTTCCTATACAGACGTCTAGTAGCCGGCGCCAGCTGTGTGCAAGCGGGCAGGTGGGGCCAAGACCCAGCTCGCACTCTCCCTGCTGAGCGCTGTGCCCTGGCCTGGGCTGTGATTTCCTCTAATGTTCACAAGGCACAAGTCAACTTTACAAGCAGGAGCCTCAATCCTGCATATCGGACAATAAGCTCCTTCAGAATACTTCTAGACTTCTTGTCTGCATCTTTTAACAACGTTTTATTGATTCTTTATTAAAATCAAAGTTCTAGCACTCTGGGCCAGACTACAATAAAACAAACAAGCACAATATCAAGCCCAATAAGCATGATGCTGAAATCTCACGATTCTCAAATCTCAAAGGTGTTCAATATATTCCACATTTAACTACTTTTTAACAAACCATATCAGAGAACCCCACTACGCCTTCCTGATTCCGTGTGAAAGCTGAATCATCATCATCTACTGCAGTGGTCCATCCTGTAGTCTTATTTTCCACACCAGAAAGCGAAAGGAACAAAACAGTGACAGGCTCAAGTTTTCCCAAGTATTAAAATTACTTCAGTCTTCAGGTTGTTTAGCTCCTTGTCTTGCTAATCTATCAGCTTCTTCATTGCCTATAAATCCCGAATGACCAGGAACATGCATCTGTTAAAATAAATTCTTCACTTTATTTTTCCTACTTTTTACATAAGCAACACATGCTATATTCTCATCATTTGGAAACAGAACTCTTCAGAGTAAACTGAGTATGCCAAAGCTCACCTTCACAGCTCCTCTTCCCCAGCATAATTCTGAACAGCACAACACATATCCCTTTCTCAAAATTTGTTTTTTGTGTTTATTCTTTTCTAAAATTTTTTAAATTTTATTTTTACTCCCCCCTAATATATATTCCCAACGCATTTATGCAGTAGATATATTTACAAAAGTTCCATTTGGTTTCTCTGCAGATTGGATTGTACTGTCAGATTGCTTCCTCCCCATTTAGCAATGGGACGTGGCAACCTTCCAGGCCACGTGCACGTACGTGTGATGCATGGACAGACATGCATGCAACATGCACACACTTTCTCCTCTGCAAGTGTTGTTAGGAAGAATGGGTACACTGACTGAAGCACCGTTCACATTTATGTTGTTGAAGCAAATTTACATGTCAGGTCACAGAGGGCAGAACAAAGTAGGGCTGAGACAATGGTTACAGTTTAACTTGCTCTGTATTATTTGCTCTGCAAGTGTTGTTAGGAAGAATGGGTACACTGACTGAAGCACCGTTCACATTTATGTTGCTGAAGCAAATTTACATGTCAGGTCACAGAGGGCAGAACAAAGTAGGGTTGAGACAATGGTTACAGTTTAACTTGCTCTGTATTATTTGAAAACATTTTTTTTTTTTTTTTTTTAAAGATGACCGGTAAGGGGATCTTAACCCTTGACTTGGTGTTGTCAGCACCACGCTCAGCCAGTGAGCAAACCGGCCATCCCTATATGGGATCCGAACCCGTGGCCTTGGTGTTATCAGCACCACACTCTCCCGAGTGAGCCACAGGCCGGCCCTGAAAACATTTTTTAATAAAAATTATCTATTATAAAAAAGACACTTCTGTTTTGGAAAAAGTCATGTTATAAGTCCGTATCATACAACTTTACTATTGTTTTAAACAAAATACGTTATAAATTAGTTTTATGTAACATTATGGCTGATTCCAAAGAAACTAATGGGTTGACTTAGATCCGAGTTGAATAGCGATGAGGTGCACGTGGGCTAGGCACTACTACGCATTAGTAAAGCATGTAAGGAGTGCAGGCCACCCCTCACACCACACTGACGGTGTGTTATACCTCCTAATACTCTCATTCAGACATTACTCATATGATGACCAAAAGAATCAAATGTGTTTTAATATACATTATGATATAATTTCATGGAAATTGTTAATTTAACTTATGTCATTAAGTCACTTACACAAATGATTAGTCTCTAGTTAATTTGGATGACAGATAGGAGCAACACTCACCCACTGAATGTCCATGCCATGGGTGAGCTCATCCAGCTCCACGAAGTCCTCTTTGTTCATCACATCTTTCCCAGAACTTGTCCTCCATCCATTTTTCTTCCACCCTTGCACCCAGTTAGTTATTCCTGGAAGAACACACTCACTGCTAACCGGTGTCGGTGTCCTGGTTTATTCCACCCTCCCTCCTGTATTCTGAGTCACCATCCTGGACTTTTCACTTCCTTAGTCGGCCTTAGCTGCTGTGGCCTTGGCACAGCCTGGAATAGTCTTGTCTCTTCCCTTTCCTCTAACTTGAACTCGACCTACAGCTCTCAGCTCCATATGTCACTTCCTCCGGGAAGCCTTCCCGGACTCACACATGCTCCCGCACTGCCCACATGCTCCTATACACGGCATTTCCCACAGAAGCAGTTAGCCACCATCCTAAGTTACTGAGGTATGTGGGGACTTGAAGTGCCACAAGAGCTGGGACTCCACCTCCTCACTTGTTCCTTCACACCTGACAGACCAGGTGTCATCCCCGTTGCCATCTGGGTCCTGCCCTGTTATTATACCTCCTACCGGTGAGAGAAATACCTTTTCTCATAGTTTCCCTTCATAGGTACTGGAAAATCATTACAAGACATAAGTGTGAAGACTCACCATTTATGGTAAACATACTGTCCGTATACAGAACCAATTTATTGATGTTCTGAGCCTTTGCTTGTTCAATGGCTTTGCAGGCTGCCTTGAAAACAAGTTGATAGTCATGCTATACGAAGTGTTAAAAATGACTTTAAAATTGAAACATTTCTTCTTTTTCTGCACTGTGATGATTATATTTGCTGTATGAAATAATCCTACACATACAATTCTTTTCATACACCTATTTAAAATAAGTTTTCAGAATTCTTCTATAAAATTCCTATCTTTAAGAATTGTTACTAACCTCAAAGTTTCTTCTGGACTTTGAATATCTTATATATTTAGATAGTAAAAAACCAAACAAAACAGGAGACTAGCTTGTACGTTCATAGTCAATGCTAAAGAAAAATAAACTTAAATATATCTGATAACTTACATGAATTTCTGCTCTTTGGTTTGTCTGGCGCCCAGGAAGTCTAATGCCTACATTTCTGTTTCAAAACAGTACAAAAGAAAATAAAATTATAAAGTGATTCCTCTTAGTGGATAAAACAGTTAGTATGTATTCACATTTGAAATATAAAAGTATCATGTAAAAACAACCTTTAAAAAATCAAACCAACGATACTAACACTTTTCTGAAATACGCCATGGTATGGTACTGTAGAAAGAACACTGGACCAGAAGTCAAAAGCTAGGCTGAATTTCTGAAACTGAAAGGCATTAACGTGTTGTCTTGGGCAAGTGCTAAACCCTGGACACTCAGTGCCACCCATGCTTCCCCTCTCCCAGGGGTTTGAGCTAAAATGAGATGTGGAAGTGAAAGAACTTTGTAAACTGTAAAGGTCAACAGAAACATAAAGTGGTATTACCATGAAACAATGTACCTGAAGCCTGCCTCACGGTGCTGATGGCACTTGTAAACACTGGAGCATACAGCTCAGAACTGGTGCACAGCAACTTGATGGGGGTCAAACCCTGCTTCCAGCCAAATTTCAGAGCTATCAGCTACTATTCAGGTTCTTTAACATCCAGGGGCTAGTTGTATTTGAATGATGGCACTTTACATCACCTTGACTTTGTGCCTATCAAATGTCAGGGGCACCTCTAAGTCATGTCTCCTCAGAAGATTCAAGTGACATGATAGCTTCCAAGTCTGGTGGCCTTCCCCATGCATCCCTGCCAAGGCCACCTCCCAGCATGCCAGGCAACTCTTCAGTGAAGGAGCAGTGAGGTCACTTTGGTGTAAATGCTTATTAGTGAAACAGAAAGACTCAACACATAGGGCTAGGAAAGTAATGCCGGGGTGCCTGATGTCCTCAAGAACAAAGCCAGTCAGTGTCAGCACGAGTCCAAGTTCAGTTCTGCTATCCCCTGCCAAAACTGTTTATTTGGCAGGTTTTCCAAATAATCAACCAGTAAGCAGACCCAACTCATCTTTTCACAAGCTGTGGTATATGATTCGGTAAATCTGGAATTTAAAAAACTCAGCTTGCTTTGTGTACTTACAAAGGATGGCCTGGCCCCCAGTAAACGCCAATTCCTGCTCGTGCCCTCCTCCGCCCATTACTGGAGCAGCAGCCATCAGTGTAGACAATGACAAAGTCTCCTGTGAGAGAGAAACAGTAAACTGGCTGGACTGGCGCTACTAAAAGCTAAAATTCACGTCAAAAATGTACTAAGGTTGAGTGAGTTAGCGTTTTAAACCAAGAGGGTATTTTACAATGCTGAAGAAATTTTCTAAGAAAACACGATCAATTACTTATACGAGGGTACTTCAACAAGTTCGTGGAAAGACTCATATCATCTTTAAATTCTAGTTTCTCATGAACCTGTTGAAGTATCCTCATATGGTGGCTCGTAACCCATGCTAAGGGGTCAAAGGCCAAAGATGCTGTCCCTTCTCTATCCCAGGGTCACCTTCACTTTCAGGAAGTTGTTCTTCCACAGAGGCAAGCAGTGCCTGGGTATGATGATGACCTTGCTGGCCAAAGGTCAAGTCAATGACAAATGCTGGTCTAATTATTTTGTTAGCATATTTGCCACTAGCAAAATGTGGTCTGTCTCTGCTTCTTTCCATCAAGAGATGGAGGGTTTCAACATGCCAAGGCTGTAAAGAACAAGGTGAAAGAGGACTGGTGGGAAGCCACTCTCAGGCCACTGGTGGCCAAGAGAACACTTCCAGCAGAGCAGGGGGAGTAGAAGTCAGGCTGCAAAGTGTTAAAGAGCAGGGGTGTGGGCAACACACACATGAGGCGTTTGTCAAGAGGCCAGTGAACCGAGCCCAGCAGAGGCAAAGGGGAAGGAGGCACGCTGAAGGGATGGGACACACGCCCAGCAGGACTGGAGCTGGGAGTCTTTCAGAACATGGGTGTTGGGAAGCCTCCTTAGTCAGCTGTAACTTATCAACACAACTACAACTTAACAACACAACTACAAACTTCCTCCCAGCCACTCAATTCTGTCTCGACTGCGAGCACCCATCACGTCAGGCACTGTGTTAGGGGCTACGGTGCTTCAAGCAGCTGTTAGCACACTGGAAATGGCTCGTTGCCCTGTTACTCCCCAAACATTGGCTTTGATTCCTACCGGTAAATAACCAAATCAAGGATACTTTTTTTTAAACATAACTGCAAAACTGATCTACTGCTTGAAAAAACATTTTCTACCAGTTTCCCAAGAATTAAATTATAAAATGACTTCTCCTAAGGGAAAACTTAGAAACTACAAATACACTGATTTATGCAAACAAACAAAAAACACAAAAAAAACCAAAAAAAAAGGTACTTATTTCTATGTTCCATTCATACATGTGAAAGAAAAAAAGGAGACATATAGCCACAACTGACTAAACACACACAACTGATTCCTGGAGGTAAAAGCAGAGAAAAAGGTCATGACTATCTTGCTTTTCAAGATAAGGTAGGAGCTCCTATATTTTATACAGATTGGTCATAAAAGGTTAAAATGCTAATGCCAGTGATTATAAAAAGCAGCTCTGTCTAGGGCCTTATTTGAAGAAGCAGAAATCTTTCTATTTTCTTTATCTTAGTGACCTAAAATAGTACATGCATAGAGAATACCGGTATTTGAAAAGAATACAATGTTTTTTTATTGGTAGTGTATATAATGATTTTCCTAAGAATATCCAAAAGTTTCATAATTCTGTACCACTTCATCCATTACAAAATAGTGACCGCAGCAATTTCTAGATAACCTTTGCAGATAAGAATGAAGATGATAAACATCAGCTCAAATTTCCCCATTAAGAAAGTAGGGAAAGTTTTTACATACAGATCTATTTTCATGATTGTTATAATGAAAATAAAAAACCCAAGAAAGATGTACCCATATAAGAAAACGTGTCTTTGCCAACTGAAGGCGCTGACTCTGTGTTCTGTTTCACACGCTTTGCACAGGGCTCCATGCTGTCATCGCTGTCTCCACCTGGGGGCTCACGGAGGGACTTGCGGGCTTTTACTTGGGATTCTTGCACATGTTTGTTCTTTTGCCCTGAAAGACAGAGTCTACTCATGAGCCAGAAACAACAAACATAACACGAAATGTTATGTAAGAATCAAGAAATCTGGTAAGTTGCTTCATGTCACTAAATCAGACTTAAACACCTACGTGTGTGGCCCTACAAAGACAGACTTAGTCCACACCATCTCAGACTTTGATGTCCTGTGAAATAATTCTAAATTTCTCAAGATAAGTCTGATAAGGGCAATGTGAATACAACAGCAAGCCTTCTGTTGAAAACAGAACCTGGTTTTGATGGACATGACAGAGATACCACGGGTTCTTGACCCTTCAGGGATCACAGACAGTTTGAAAATCTGAGGGGCTCTTTCCCCAGGAAAAACAAGGAGAAAATTCTGTATATAAGATCAGTGGTATCCATGGTTCAGACCCCTCCTTGCTGCAAATACTACAATTACATGGACACCAAGTTGAGAAACTCTAGGAAGGCTAAGAGGGCACAGGTAGGTCTAGCTTAAATAAACAGATAATGGGACACGTTAAGAAAGAGAAATAGAAATCAAAGGAGAAGAGCTTGGATCCCTCTGGGGAATCAGCACTGTTGCAGTTTTTCTTCAGTGTGGCTTCGAGGCTAATCCCAAAGGCATTCTCAAACATTATCTCAGAGTTATCTCACTCACTCTTTTATATTACAGCAGCTGAAAGAGAAGAATTAGGCCACGATTCAAAAAACCAGTTTCAATGTGAGTGCTACCTTTTATCAGCTGTGAACTTGGTCACTGACTTAAACCCTTTAGGATTCTGTAAAATAAGGAGCTGAACTGGACGATCTGAACCGACTCTTCCTACATGATCATCTTCTGAAGTGGGAATGGGAAAACAGAAAGATCAGCTAATTCTATCTGCAAAATACTGTTAACCAAACACTACAGAATTCACTTTAAGCTCTAAATTCGTAAATCAGGGATGGAAAAACGGGGCATAACATTTACCGAGTGCCTACTAGATAAGAACAAGACAAAATTTCCAGCCTAGTGTAGCTTCTCAACTCACACCTCTCGGGAGAGTGCTAAGGTAGACTGGGCAAACCTGAGAAAAACTGGTATGCCACGCATAGCAATGTCTGGCATTTCCACTCCGCCATATTTTGTGTTACTTTTATTTACCTTGAAAACCTCTACGTACTCTACAGAAGTAAACTAAAAAACACAGGCACAGGTTAAAGTTCAATTTTGTAGAATTTTATTTTTTTAAGTAGTACGGATTTTTAAAAAAAAATTTTTTAAAAGATGACCGGTAAGGGGATCTTAACCCCTGACTTGGTGTTGTCAGCACCACGCTCTCCCAAGTGAGCTAACCGGCCAACCCTATATAGGGATCTGAACCCGTGGCCTTGGTGCTACCAACACCACACTCTCCCAAGTGAGCCACGGGCCGGCCCAGTAATAAGGATTTTTATTGTCAAAACAAGACATCATAACAGAAGACATAAATAAACTGTTCTGATAATTTTAGATTCCAGTCTCTCTATGGAAAGGCCAGTTCCTGATATAGACAGGATACTATACAAACGAAAAAGCAGCAGGTATTTGAGACAGGGTTCGAGACACTGACCATGCACACAGTGAGGAGAAATAAAAAGGCAGTCTCCCTATTTCCCTTCTTCAGTGAGGTATGCCCCGAATAAAGGTGTGAAGCTCATTTTGGTAAAAAATGCTTTCATGTAGAAAAATTTTCAATTCTTTCATCTGTCCCTGAAAAAAGTTACAAGCCACGACTTGAATGAGGGAATCAAAATAAGGTGACATTAGTTTCACGTGAACCTCAAGACTATAATCTTACTGTAGTTACCAACCTCTGTACTTCACCAAGTCAGTAGACTGAATTTACTCCCTTAGGAAATTTCCAATCGAACTGAAATTAAATTAATCTCATTTAAAGTACAAAGAAGGATATGCAAGACAATGTTTGTTCTGTGACGTATAAAAGAGAAGCATCCCTCCAACATCACTGGCCCAAGAGGTATCACATGAAGAATGGGCTTCAGAACAAAGTGATCTATTAGATCTACCAAAAAGCCAGGAGACTCCAGTTTCAGCCTAGAAAGGGGGGTCCCTGCAGAGTATGGCTTTTAACTGTACCCAGATCTCAAACAGATCTGAAGTTGTCCTAACTGACAAAGGCTGGAGTGCAGCACCGGCAGTTAACAGGGCCAGAGTTGTCTAAACTAGTCAGCGAGCACCTCAATGCCATAATTTGTCAATGCTCACATTGACAGTGGTAAAAGAATTAAGAAGCTTGAGTTTTGGAAAAGCACAAACATTATTTACCTAAAAAGCAATGAACAAAGTTCTTGTTCGGCGGAAATGATACAAAAATAGATCATGAGGTTCCCACACTTCACCGCTAAAATTATCTGGTCTAACTTTAAACCAGTACAAAATGGCTTCTTCCACACAAGGACAAGCTTTGCACTAATGTTTCTCAAAGAACAATTACGTCTCTAGCTCTAGCCTCAGTTTAAGAGACTTCTGAAAAATACGCCTTTCCAGTGTCAAGAGCCAAGGTAAAAGGGGAATGGGGTGCAAGAAGCCCTCTATCCAGAGTCCCTGGAACAGAAAGAGCCCTAGAAGCCAGCGGGTGTGAGCACATTCAAGTCAAGGGTTTGAGCTTATGGGCCCATGGCAGTTGTTTCTTCCCTCCATCACTGGCTTGTCCATCTTGGGCAGCTTGAAGGTTTCTGGATCTTTAGCCATTTGGGTGGCCTGGGCACTGACTAGTTCTACTGGAGAAGGCTTCTGAGCTCCTCTGTAGGCCTGGATGGCAAAAGCTCCTGAATTGTACTTCTGGAGGGATCTTGGTCTAAAAAAGCTCCATTTATCTGACAGATTTCTGTCCTTATCCCCACTTCCAGGATCCATGTTGCTAGGATTTGGGCCAGGCAAGGCTGTGGAAGAACCAGAAGTGAACCAGCCTCTGGCCTTCTACTTAGGGTAAGAATGCAGGGTGCTGCTTGGGGTGGATTGGGATGATGGAGGCTGCTCCTCTTCTTCTGTTCTCTCTCCACTCTGGAGCTTAGTCTGTGGAGTGCTTCTGCCACATGAAGGTCCTTGGTCTCCTCAGGGGTAAGGCCCTTCTGGGGTGTGTCACCAGCGTCTCTCAGCCCTGCCTATTGCTCAAAACTCAGAATGGTTTCCTGGGTCTGTTTTGTGATCAGAGAATTCATGATAACATGGGTGGCTCTAGCCTTCACCACCAGGACCTCACCCATACTGTCAACGGCTGATGACAGGTTCACGGCAGGGGAGGACACTGGGCTCTCCTTCCTCCAATATGGCAAGGTACTAATATTCACGCTCTGGAATCAGTGGTTACCAGGGCATGCTGCCCACATCCAATGGAGGAGTAATGGGCGAAGGGTCCTTGAGGGCACCATCATAGCTGAATGCCGGGTGATACATCCCGAAAGACAGGGACAGCTTGCCTAGAACACCACTAGGCTCAAGAGCAGGTATTTCTGGTCGTCTTGAAGCCATTGAAAGAAAGACGGATCCAGGTGCTTTTTCTGTATAGAATTCAGAGCCGAGTCCCTGACACTGCAGAGAAATGATGTGACGACCCTGCTGACAGATGTTAATGAGGAGCATTGCCCAGCTGCTGCTAATTAGTGAACCTTCCCAGGAAGAGTCCACCCAGAGGTTGTTTTCCCACAGCCACAGAGCTGCCCATGGCCCAAACTCCAGTACTAAAGAGGCTCCGAGGACCCACGTCTTCTGAGAGGCTGTAGCGCAGTCGGGACTCAAGCCATGGTGAGAGTGGCGGTGACACCAAAGGTCCCCAGCACTGACTAGGGAGCACTGGCTGCTGGGCCAGCTAGCAGTCTTGGTGATAAAGCCTCTTAATATTGATATGATATTGATATAAATATTGGTTTTATTTAGTGTAACAGAGAAAGTTAAACTGGACTGAAAGTTTTTAAAGAACTCTTTGAAGGAAAGGAAAACCATCGTTGTCAGATAATTTTTACTTCACAAAATTGTGGTTTTCCTGAGTGACCTTAAAATCAGCTTATATAAACCATAATAGCTAGCAGATAGTTCAATAATTGCAAAATAAGGATAAATGTAATATTATGAGACAGAAAAACTGAAAAATGGGCTAATACTTTTGCTTTGATACAGTTCCTGAACACTGAAGATGTTAAATTCCAATTTATAAACATAAGTCACTAAGAGGTCTCTGTAAACTTCTAAGAACAAAGATTCATAAAGAACTAGCTTGCCTTAAGATTTAGAGTACTTCATAAACAGAAATACATTTATATTGAAGAACTGAGATATGGACAAATTACCAATTGATTAAAAACAAAAAATCTGTGAAAAAAAAAAAATTAAGAACCCAACAAAGAAGAGCCATACTTTCAAACTTGCTTTCTGTCCCAAACTGATTTCTCCATCGGGGTAGAAAATGTAACTCACATCAGAAACTCCTCTAAAAGCTGCTGGGGAGACAAAGGGTGAAGCAGGTGCCTGAGTGAGTATCTCCCCTGCTTTGGAAACTAGCCCTTCGAGGGTGATTCCAAGAATGACCTGCCTCTCCCTGAATTCTGCTTTGTCCAGAACTGTTATGGCATCCCAAAGGAGCAGTCATTACTGTTTGAGCATCTCAGTGGGCTCTAGAGAGACTGTTCACGAGAAGCTGAGTTCTGCTCATCTTAATCCATTGTAGTAAAAAAGTTTATAAGTTAATGAAAAATCATTTCCTAAAGGTAGGTTCAGATATATTTTTTAAATCTTGTGCTCATCTTATCTGAGTCCTGCAGGTCAGAGCCCTAAATATCTGATGTCCCTTATATTAGGGCTTAAACTTCAAATAACTATACTTTCTGTAACACACGAAATTGGAATTCGAATTGTGTGACTCTATCTGAAATAAAAGGAACCACACTCATCCCTTTAAAACTGTGTCCCATTCAGTCCAACAACAGTACAAATACATTTTTAGAAGACAAGGAATCATGGCATAGTGAGGGCACTGAATGGAACAGGAAATCTGAGTCCTGGCTTGTCTCTAATGCTGTTACTGACATGAACTACTATTCTCAACTGCTTTCAGGCCACTTCCTAATTTGTAAAATGGAAAAATGGAAGCAATCACAGTATCTTCTCGACATGCCTAGAGGACAGCTATACAGATCAAATGACATCTGGTATATAAAATTTTGAATAGGTTAAAATGTCACACTGATGTGAGAGGGGATTACCTTCTGAACTGTCAGGACTCACAGAGTTCCTAACAAAGGCCCAGGCCTCATCTTCTGTAGCAAACTTCTTAAATCTGGCAGCAGGAAACCGGTCCACCTGTGCTCTGCATTCATTCCTGGAAAAACATGCAACGTTATTTCCTTTCTCCCCGCTCTTTAACTTATGCCTTTTTTTTTTTTTTTTTTTTTTTTTTTTTTTAAAGATGACCGGTAAGAGGATCTTAACCCTTGGCTTGGTGTTGTCAGCACCACACTCACCCATGAGCGAACCGGTCATCCCTATATGGGATCCGACCCCGTGGCCTTGGTGTTATCAGCACCGCACTCTCCCGAGTGAGCCACGGGCCGGCCCAACTTATGCCCTTTTTAATTGATTAAGATTCTCTTCTTAAGTTGGGAATCGTGTGAAAATGGATGGGCTGTCAATTCCTGGGGGGGAAAAGGGTAACATCTTTCAGTTCATAGTTTTATCCTGCACATCAGACGCTACACCCTCTGTTCTGTTACAGCTAACCAGACGGTAAACCAGCACCATATGGCTTTCCTCAAACTCAAAGCATACTAAAATTCTGGGGTCTCTGAAAAAAAAGTTCTATTAATCATATCATTACAGTTGAAAGGTCAACTTCTGAGATGTTTCTTTCTCAATACTATAGCTGCCCTGCATAAGGAAACACGTGTACACACAGAGAGATGATAAATCTTGATATCACGTAGTGAGAAGAGTCCTGGTCGTGGAGTCAGAACTGGGCTCAAGTCCTACCTCTGTCACTTACTTGCCCTATGAATTTCAAAACTACAATAACTACCCTGAAAATGAGAATAACCCCACCCACCTACAAGGATAGTCACAGGGATCCAATCGAAAACACTAATTTATCAGAATGGTCTTTAAAAACACAGAAAAGGGCCGGCCCGTGGCTCACTCGGGAGAGTGCGGTGCTGATAACACCAAGGCCCCGGGTTCGGATCCCATGTAGGGATGGCCGGTTAGCTCACTGGCTGAGCGTGGTGCTGACAACACCAAGTCAAGGGTTAAGATCCCCTTACCGGTCATCTTTATAAAAATAAAAATAAAAAAATAAAAACACAGAAAAGACTAGGTTAGATACTGAGCTCCAGCTCCAATGTAGCAGGTGCGGAAAATCTTTTGGTGACGCTAGTTGGTACTGATGACGTGTTACCTTTGGGGAACTCTAACTTCAACAAACACGAAGTCTTGAACAGAGGTCCCTATGCGAGGGTGGCACCTTTTTCTTTCTTTTGGTGGCTGGCGGGTACGAGGCTGCGACCCTTGACCTCGGTGTTACCACACCGCGCTCTAACCGAGTGAGCCAACCGGCCACCCAGGGAACGCGGCCTTCCTGACACGGCAAACGAGACCTCGGCGGAGTCCAGCCTCCCGGGCCCGGGCCGCTGGCAGGCGCCTCGACGCGGGCGGCCCACTCACCAGGTGAGGAAGACCCCGGTCCTGCGGCCCCTCCTCACGGCGTAGAACATCCTGAGCCTGAAAGGGCCGCAGCCGCAGCGCACGGCGGCCAAGGCGACTCCGTGGGCCACGCACAAGAGCCGCTTCATCGCTCACTCCCCGCGCCGGGAAGCATCTCGGCTCCGGGACGCACGCTCGGTGATGGCAGCGGCGCCGCACTCGCACTTCCGGCGGCGGCGGCGCGGGGAGATGACGCGAGCCTGGCCGGGACCGTGGCGAGGGGCGTGGCCGTGGCGAGGGGCGGGGCGAGGAGAGAGCGATAGAGGACACATTCTGGGCTCGGGAGCGGGGATGGCGGGCTCTGGCTTAAGTACTGGACTGTGGTGTCGTCAGCACCATGCTCTAACCAAGTGTGCCAACTGTCTAGCCCTGGGACAATGCTTTCCCAACAGGTGTTAACCCCTGAAGTAACCAGAAGAAGGGATCTTAGGAGATTATTGCAAACTTTTCCAAAGTGGTTGCACCACTTTTCACTTTTGGGCAGCAAACTTTAAGAAGAGTCAACAGAACCATTCTCTCCATAACTGCATTTTGGTGGAGGTTTAAATTTGTGTCAATGCACGTCAGTGGAGTCTCGCTGTCGTCTTGATTCACATTTCCTGATCCCCAGGGACAATGGGCTTTTCCTCAAATTCTGTCCCTCACCTGTGTTTCCTCTGTGACATGACTGCTCAGCAGGTCACCAAGTGATGATGTTGCTGCTGGTCCAGGAAGCACACTTTGAGAACCACTGCCAATACAAAAATATTCACCTGTTAGTCCATTTCTGTGTATCTATAACAATACTGAGAGCAGAAGTTTATTTGGCTTATGATTCTGGGAGAGCCGCATCTGGTGCCAGCCTCAGGCTGCTTCTACTCATGGCAGAAAACAGCAGGCCAACCCACGGGTGCAAGCAGATCACATGGCAAGAGAAGGGGGATGCAGGGTCCTTTGAACAACCAGGTCTTGCAGGGACTAACAGAGCGAGAACTCACTCACTACCTGGGGCACTAATCTATTCATGAGAGATCTGCCCCCATAACCCAAACCACTCCCACCATTGCCAAGCTGGGGATCAGATGTTGACATGAGCTTTGGGGGGACAATATATGCAAAGTCTATCATCCATATTTTCGATTAAGACTTTTAAGTTTCGTTTTTGACCTTTAAGTCCTTGGCATTACCCCTCAGAGGTAATGGATATTCCTATACCCTATTACCTTACCCTCCTACTCCAAGCATATACACAAGAGAGACTAGGGGACATGGACAGCGTGAGAGTGTTGTGCACAATACATTCCTAGTAACAGTGTCCACAGTGGCAGAAATGCGGAAATAATCAACATGCCCATCAATGGAAATGGATTAATCAACTGTGCCATTGTCACCCAATATAAGGTTATACAGCACTCAAAATGAGTGAACCTCGTTGACACACAAGATAGATGAATCTTAGCAACATAATATTAAGTGAATAAAGCAAGCCCCCAAAGAAAAAATATCATGTCCTTTTTATAAATCTAACAATGACTAAAAAAAATACTCTTTGAGTTTACATATAGATGTGCTAAATATAGAGGAAAAGAAGAGAAGGATGAACTCAATTCATATAACGGTTACCTCAGGCTGTCTTCTGTGAAGCCAGGCATATACGAGATTTGCAAAATGTGAAGAGAATATATGTATTTTTTTTTTTTTTTGTCTTTTTCCGTGTCCGGCAACGGATCGCAACCCTCAGTGTTGCCCCCACACCGGACCGGGGACCAGCAACGGGATCGCAACCCTCGGCGCTGCTCCCGCGCCTCGCTCAGCCAGCAAGTGGGAACTGGTCCGTATGTGGGATCCGAACCCTCGGGCGGGAGCGCCGCCGTGCTTCCCAAGCAGCGCACTATCCAGTGCGCCACCGGGCCGGCCCAATGTATGTTTTTTAACATGGCAAACAATGCATAAGAATATTTTTTAATAAAATATTTGTTATTTATGTTTACCTGTTAACTTGTATGGGTTTATTATTTTTAATGAATCAATAACTAAGTTTTTAATTCTCCATTTTATCTTTATATGATAAACATTGATAGACATAGCCCAGATAAATAAATTTTCTTCAAAGTCTTCATAATTTTTAAAAGCGTAAAGAGTCCCAAGACCAAAATCTTAAGAACTGCTTAGAAAATAATTACACAGCAACATAGGAACACATGTAAAATAACATATTCAAACTATGTGCTTATAACTTCAATTTACATTTTCCTGCAAATTATACCATTTAATATCATGTTTCTGAAAAACACTTTAGGATTTCCTAAAATATGCAATTTTGATAGATAACTCCCCGAAACCATCCCCTGCTTCACAGAGAATGTGTTTAGCACAGTGCAGCATACAGAAGACACCACTAAACCACTTTTTATACAGCCCTAGTTACCATTCATTTATTTGTACTGTGTCCCAGGCACTGTGCTAGGTACTGCACACACACAGCCATTTATTAATCCTCATAATGTAACACTCATATTACCCTACATACAGCTGCGAATGCTGAAATTTAGAGAGAACAAGTAACTTGCACATGACGTGTAGACAAGAAGTAATACAACCAGGCCTCAAACCTGACTCCAAAGCTCACTCTCACAAACCTAAGTCATGGTTCTCAGAGCATCACCTGGGAACTTGTCAGAAATGGGAATTTCGGGCCTCAACCGAGACCTACAGAATTAGAAACTCTGGGGGGTGGAGCCCACCATTTGTACTTCATCAGTCCTCCCAGCGACCAAGTTTGAGACCTCTGTGCTCAGTGGTAGTCCTCCCACTTGCAGCCAGCCGAGCTTCCGTGTTTCTGGTATTCTGTTTGCTTCACACAACAACCCTGTTGGGTCAACAGGGCAGATATTATAATGTTTATTTAATAGATGAAGACACTGAGGCTCAAGGAGATTTTATGACTTGCCCAAAAGTCATCTAGCTAGTTTTGGAACTGAAACCCCCGATCGCAAATCTTCTGGCTCTTAATCTGAAGCTGGGACCAGCACCAATGAGGAATCTGGGAGCAGTAAGGTCAGAACAGTAGCTCATGTCCTCATTCTGCTGCTTTTAGTCGAGGATGAGAGGAGAACACCAGAGCAGGGTTACACCTCAGTGGGGTCTGGCCCACTGCAGAGGAGCCCATGCTCACTCTGACGGCAGCTGATGAGGTTCCATTGCATCTCCTACAAGCCATTCATGGTGTACTAGGATTAAGTAGTACAGTTGGGGACCTTGATCGCCCACACCGAGAGCCAGTCATCACCCAGAGGAGTTAAACCCATACAGAACCCAGATGCAGGGTCGTTTGCAGTAAGTATCCACTTCCTAGTCTCAGCCCCTCACCTTCCATTCATTTCCCCACAGCTCCACACCTCCACGCCCCGACGCCCACGTCCCACCATGACACCAAAGGCTGAGATGTGGTGGGAGCTTTGTCCTGGTGCAGGCAATGTGGGGGATCTCATCTGTAAAGCAAGTATAAACAATGATAGAACCCGACCAAAAGTCAGACCACTTTGTATAATCTCCAAGCACCGGCAATTGTAAATGCTGTCACTGATGAATTCTTCTCCAAGAAAAAACTCTCTTGTTGGTCTAAGTCTAAGCAACTGGCTGTGGTTACTGCTGAGTTTTAGTTTATATACATATAAACTTCCCATTTTTGTTGCTGATCTTTAGTAAACATTATGTTTTACATGGAAGTTAATTCCAAGACCTCCCAGTTATCCAATTGGTTCCGACACGTGTGCATTCAGCTACAAGAAGTTCTTTTGGTTCAGAAGCGTGTTGCTTGCACGCTTAATTGGAGTTAGATCCAATTCCTGGGGTACCATGACCTCCTGCATTTAAGCAGTGGCCATGGTATCACCAGGATTGTAAAGACAAAGAGAAAGGACTTGCATGACTTCATTTTACGTGATCACTGTGTTTAAAATTCAAAACAGTGAAACACGGCAGTGAGAATTACAAGGTGAAATATTTTTGTTAAAGTGCAGATTTTAGGGCTGTCCAATTAGCTCAGCTGGTTAACCACAGTGTTATAACAGTAAGGTCAAAGGTTTGGCTCCCCATACTGGCCAGCCACCAAAAAGAAAAGTGCAGATTTTAGCTTACACATTAAATATTTTACCGAATTTGAATAATATCTTTAAAACAGAAGTGTATTCTTTATTTTTTCCAGATTTTTAAAATAACCTTTATTTTTTTTATTCCATACTGGCCAGCCACCAAAAAGAAAAGTGCAGATTTTAGCTTACACATTAAATATTTTACAGAATTTGAATAATATCTTTAAAACAGAAGTGTATTCTTTATTTTTTCCAGATTTTTAAAATAACCTTTATTTTTTTTATTTTTTTTTTTTTTTTTTAAAAGATGACCGGTAAGGGGATCTCAACCCTTGGCTTGGTGTTGTCAGCACCACGCTCAGCTAGTGAGCAAACCGGCCATCCCTATATAGGATCCGAACCCGCGGCCTTGGTGTTACCAGCACCGCACTCTACCGAGTGAGCCACGGGCCGGCCCTAAAATAACCTTTATTTTTAAAAAGCTAATATGTGCATTACGGGAAACTGAAAAACACAAGAAGCTAAGAACAAAGTCACCCACAATCACAAGCAGTTAGTTTGGCGTGTCCTTCTAGATCGTCTGTGTGTATATGCAACATCCAACTTTATGTGACTGAGATTGTACAGCATGTATCATGCATTTTCACACATTATGAATATTTACTAATTCAAAATCCCAAAGCTATATGAGTATTTTGATAACCAAGTATACACTACAACAACTCAATCTGTTAAGAAAAAAATGTGATCCTGACTTTCTTGGGGTACTCTTCTTCATAAATGTAATTGTTGATTTTAAAACTGAAGAATGAATTAAGAAAACAATGATTACCACTGACTATTACATGGTCACGACTGAAAATACTTCCGTTGAGTGGAGAAGGGCATCAGTCCACTCAGCGGTCAAATGCACTTGGAATGTCACTGTCCCCCTCTGTCCTCCCATACACACACTTCCTCAGGTTTCTACTGTGAACGGGACAGTGCTGGCAAAAGTGTGATACCTGGTGCTCTTTTTGGTAAGTCTGTGTCTAGTGGCTCGCCCTTTCCAGACCTCAGCTTCATCACTGGCA